GGGGGGGGGGGGGGGGGGGGGGTGCTCTGCCAGCTCTGGTGCCGAGTTGTGTCAGTCATGTGTGCCGCCTGCCCATCAACTTGCTTCTGAACTACTGCAAAATCTTGCTTGACTACTGTATTTGAATTGTAATTGTTGTTCACAGTTCGCTTATCATCATGTTATTACTCAAATTACTGTATCTCATTTCATCTCTAATAATTTTTTGCTTTATCATGAATTTTTTGCTTTACCCCCTGCACCCCCTCTGGCCAGGGCTAGGGAGTGCATCCCCCCCCCAGCAAATCCATCCCTGCTGGCAGTACTCTACCACTGACGAGTAATTAATTGTCTGGTGTTAGACAGAGTAAATACTAAGTAGGGCACATTCACATTGCCAGTTAATGAGTTAATATTAACAACATTAAAAACAGACTAGGGTGTCAAAGACTAGGTGGATGCTTCTTTGCCTGCAACATAGCATAAAGTGGGACTGCCACATTTATTTTATTAATTGACAACAATTATTTTAATATTAAAATATTGATTATTTTAACAATTATTTTATTAATAACAATTATTTTATTAAATTACTGATAGATTTCAGCAATGAAGGGAATCAATATTTTAATAAAATAATTGTTATTAATAAAATAATTGTTAAAATAATCAATATTTTAATAAAATAATTGTTGTCAATTAATAAAATAATTGTTAAAATCTTGTTTTTAACATGTTAATATTATTAAGTGTATGAAATATGAAAAGTTGAAATATGTTGTGCTATAGCAGACACTTTATGTAGTGATTATTATGCATAGTACATGAAATGGACATTAGATGAGTCGAGCTGCATGGCCTAGTTAGCCAGGCTTATCTTCAGTGTCTTGGTTAGCCAAGATCCTGACTCATATGATAACAATTTCTATTCTGGCAAGGCAGGCTAGCCTGGCTCATGTGAACAGGGCCTAAGATGATACATCTTAACATCATATAGTAAGCATGCGAATATCATACTGGCAGATAATTGACTGAAGGCCTTTTTCCATTATTGTGTATTTCTACCATTTAGTATTAGCACTTGTTTCTGACTTTCTGTTTATAGTAGTCTGTGTATCTTGAAAAGCCAGTGATGTATATATTAATATGAAATTGTTTGAAATGTATATAATGAATGATTAGGGACCACCGGTCATTAATAATGGGAGGGGGCCCAGTGGCGTAACAGAGGAAGAGGGGGCCCTTAGGCATATTTGGTGTGGGGGTCCCTGTTGACTAGCTGTTATTGTTTGACTGAGATCTTATATTTATATTGAATATTTATCAGTAGAATGGAAAATTCTGTGTCTATAACAATGATAATAACAGTCTCCAACATATGTAACAACTTTTAAGAATAACTTTTGTTCTATTTGAGATGGAATACCATCGTCAATGGAGGGTTTATTATTTAGCATTATTAATTTTGTATTTTTCCATTGATTCCTGGGTGATAGGTTGTGGTTGATGGGGGCCCCTAACTGTCGAGGGCCCTTAGGTTTTGAACCAACCCTACCTAGTGAGTGTTACGCCACTTAGGGGGGCGTGGGTGAGAACAGGAGGGGGCAGCTTCAACTATTTTTGCCTGAACTGGGGGTGGCCTCAAAATATGTGACAAGGGGCGACCCCAAATTTTGAATACTTTTCTACTCATTTTCAATCTCTTACCTTTATCATATTGCAAAATATTTCACCTTTTTTAGTTCCTATAATTGTAATTTCCATAGTTTATTACGTATATGCAGTTCTGTTCATGATAGGAGTCAGAGTAAATAACAACCATTTTGAATACTGGTCCTCTTATTATTTAGGCTACACAATGTCTTACACCAGTACTTGTACCATTACCTATTTTACACCAACTAAGTAACAAATTAAATGTTGGGGGGGGGGCTAAATTTCTAAATGAAGGTGGGGGCATCTTGAAAATAAAGGTCTTGCGATTGGGGCGGCTCTAAAAAATGTTCAATATTTAGTATCTATCAACCACCGCCCCCCCCCCCCCCCCCCTCCCATTATTATTAATGAGTGGTCCCGGGGCGGTCCCCTATGAAAGGTTTTTATCCAGTAAGATTTACTAAAGCACATGCATCTTTCGACCTTTATAAAGACATACTATATTATTATATGAGTGTATAGTACTGCAGTAAATCGATAAAGGTTTTATGTATGCATAATTTGGATCTTTCATATTAAAATATTGCACACACTGACACGGTAGTATGAATATTTATATGACAAATTTACATATTGAAATTAGTTCACTTACCAAAAAGTGCATTTGATTTGATACATCTCCAACCACTACTTGTCCTTATTTTGTACTCTTCAAATTTCTCAAGCATTTCTGCTTGTGAAGCGCAAACAAGCACTCGGTCACTCTTCGATGGAAGCCATATTGCTTTGGTTTCGCGCGTTTTTTCCAATTTCGCGCACTAATTTATTTGAATTTTAAAGATGGAATACCGCTGACTCGTATGTATTGCAGTTTCAGATTTGTACGTATCTTGTCTATGATATAGTGCCGACCGTCTCGCTTCCCAAGTCCTCCCCAAGCACCCCCGCGCGCTCGCTCAGCCACTGATCTATATAAAAAACTGTAGTGTTGCTGTTTTTTAGTACGTTATTTGCGCCTGGGTACGAGGCTGCTTAGGGAGCATGTTGTTCGTACATTTTGTGGTAACTCGTTTCATAAAACTGCCCCGCTATAACTGAAACTTCGCTTACCGTAGTTGGTTTTTGGTTTTGGTACAAATAAGGTGTGTTCAGAGTTTCTTAAGTTATATTCTGTGCTGCGAGATTCAAACAATTCACGGAGATAAAACGGAGTTAAATCGTTAATTGTTTTAAACATTAGTATAGCCTTATGCTTTTTCCGACGTGTTAAAAGGGTGGGCATAGATTGAACCTCCAATTAAGGGTGGGCATAGATTGAACCTCCAATCATTGAGTGTGAGTGAGCTTTTGGAATACGGGCAAAAGATAATAAAATGTGTCAGGGTGTTTATAATTATAGCTAGTGACCTTCTACCTGTCATTGTCAGCGATACAAACATAAAGGAGGGTCTGGATGGGGTTAACTGACTACAGACATTTACCTGAATTTTTGACTGACAAAATATCCTAACTGACAACTGAGAAATGATAATAAAATGATGAGTCAGCATTTTGCAGTAACTGACTGGACAGCAGTGCAATATATTGCACTGACAACTGACAACTGGCTTAAATTTTAGCTGACAACTGACACCCAAAGACCCCCATTAAGACCCTCATAAAGCATCGCCATTTGATGTTTATTTGCAAAAAACTCAAATTTCACTCAATAATATACAGACTAAAAATGGAAATATATTTATTATAGATGTTATACTTATAGACGCTAACGTATGAAGATCCACAAAAGAGAATAAAAGCAGCAAATTTAAAATTACGAGCTGCATATTCGTTATGAGATATCTATGGTTGTTGTACTACCATGTATGTGGCTCCAGTGGCGCGCAATGACTGTCATGTGATGTTTTGTCTAACCGTATATATTACGCAATACAATACACGCCCCCGGTAGTGTCGAACACCGGACGTGATTCGACCAGGAGGTTCGATTTTTCGATTTTAACTGACCAATAACTTTGATCCTGATTTAAGTTTTTCAAATATTTGGAATTGGTCGACATATCTTTTAAAATTTCCTTTCATTGGCTGTTTTATCGTGGATTGTAAAATAACATCAGTTACAATCCCTGGTTTTATTAACTTTCGAAAACTGAAAGTTAATCGAATCCGGTAATAGTTAAGTTAATCGCGTCCGGTGTGTGACGTGTGTCTCCACGCTTCGAGCAAAGGATCATCGAAACTCGTTCTTTACTCTTCACCAGCTTCAGATGCTCTTACAAATCTCAAAAATAACTAATCCCAAACAAAAACTTCGTAAACCTTTCGTAAGCTTAACCCTTAACTGTGGCTTAACTAACCATCTCGAAGACCTGTTTTGTAAAAATTGTAAATATCACTAAGGGAAGCCTCACATATCGATTTTTTCCACGAGAAACGTCATATGTTCGTTTGGGGGTGGGGGGGTTGGCAGCTGTGACGTTTCTCTGTAAACATCATGGAAAAAATCGATAGTTTTTATCTTTGCAGAGTATAAAAAAGAAAACAATTTGATACAAACAGCAGTCTATATATTCGTAATACCATACCTGTTCTATACCTATACATTTATATTATTACGCCTTCCTTGCATTGAAAACACTCAAATTTCAAGAAAAACGCGCTAAAATTATCAATATTTCATGCAAAAAAAAGTTGTTTTGAGAAACGTTGGAAATTTTGATGACATATTCTTCACGGAAGCATCGCCAATAGCCGACCGTAGAAAATAGTAAAAAATTACCTTATGTGTCCTATATAAAGAACAAAATATAGATAACTATGCGTGACGTTTCTAAGGGGGGGGGGGGTCTCCAGAGAAACGAACATACGACGTTTCTCATGGACAAAATCGATATGTGAGGCTTCCCT